ATATATAAATAATATACACAAGATATCTAAAATCATACTTTTCTTTTAATTATACCTTATAATTTCTTGATAACAAAAGCTACTTTTCAATAAAATTATGATTTTTCTATAAAAATTTTATAGTAAGATTAGATATTTTACAAATGTATTATTTATTTTTTAAGGAAACGAAGGATACGCTTTTTACATGGACAAATCTGACGGCAGTATCTATGCGAACAAATCATTTGATCGCGAGACGAGAGACAAATATGTTCTCTCTATTCTTGCGTCCAACGATCCCGATCTTTACATCAATCCTGCGCAATCCGGCCGACTGTTGACTCACAATCCAGAACACGGACACGTGAACGTAACGATAACTGTGTTGGACGAAAACGATAATCCGCCCATCTTTGAGCGCAATGATTATTATGCCGGCGTGAATTCTATGGCGAACATAAATGACTTCGTGACCAAAGTAACTGCCTCTGACTTGGATGTCGGAGACAACGGTACTCTCCATTACTATGTCGCCAGCGCGAATCTTTACAAATATGACTCAGAAAAGCCGAGCGGCTCGATAGTGCCAAGTCCATTCAATGTCACGCAGGATGGTAAACTCGTTACGAGCGGATACATGGCGGAATACAATCAAGACAGATTTATCGTCGAAGTTATCGCCAAGGAGACGGCCATTCCAGAAAGATACGCGATGACGAGAGTTCATGTAAGCTTTTTGCAATTGTCATTGTGTGTGTGTGTTATTATAATAATATTAGTTTCACATTAACATTACTTGGCTTTATGTGACATGATATTATTATTAGTATATTGGTTTGTAAGATTTTTTTATGTGACACAATTGCTATATTAAATATCTTCATTTTACAAATTTAATTAATTTTTATTTTTTGTCAAGGTATGGGTGTTTGAGCCATCTCAATTAATACGAGTCATACTGTCTCGGCCTCCGGAGGAGGTGAATAGCGAACGCGATGAGATTGTTTCAGAGTTATCCAATGCTACACAAAGCAGAGTCGTAGTAGACGATATTAGATATCATGTTGATGCTTCTGGACATATCCGCAGAGAATGGTAATTACACGCATATATAATCTTCTGATCTAATTCTTTCTGAAATTTTTCTATCACAATTTGTACATATATATCATATGCATAGGCGCCGACTACGGGAGGGCAAACCACTTTTTGCCCCCCCCCCCAATAAAATTATTGGGGGAGGCAATGCCTCCTCAATAATTTTTATCTTTTGGTTTTTTAACAAACGGTGTTTTAACAATTGCAAATAATTTCTGCGATCAAAACTGTGAGAAAACATCGGCCACATGACATATGTTATACATAACGTTGATGCGGCGAATTAAAAATGGTGATGCTCGCGCTGGCACGTCGTCTACTGTCCTAGGGTGCCTTCCAACAAGAGACGGTGTAATGACACGGTGTGACACATTACATTCTTGATGTTCGCTAATGTTAAACAAGGATGAGAGATGATTATTGTATTTTACTGATTGTGAGTCGCTTATTGAGGCGTGTTTTGATTTCCATTAGAGTGCTCCTCGGATGTCATGTCATCCTTGTTTAACGTTTGTTAAATAATAAGGATGACATGACACTCAGGGAGCACCCAGATGGGAATTCGAATATGCCCCTGGAAGAAATCCCTAGTGTACCTGCACATACACGTACCAGAGAGAAACCTGAGAGAGGACATGAGTGCCTTTTTCCTGTAACCGCAAAATATCTTATACACTACAGTCTTCTGAAGAAGTGGATGTCAATTACACAACATTATCCATTTTTTTTTTGCGATGCTCTTGATGGAAATAAATCGCTAAAATCATTAAAATTTTCACTAATTTGATAGATAGTTATTTCAGCGATTTATTTCTATCAGTAGCACCGCAAAAAAGTGGATATTATTGTGTTCCCTGCTAATATTTCTCGGTGCCCCCCCAATATTTTTCGTAAGTCGGCGCCTATGATCGTATGTATATATATATATATATATATTTCGCATATCATTTGTATGAAATAATTTTTTAGGTGCGACATGTATTTGCACGTTGTCGAACCGAAAACTCAAACTATCGCACCGATACCTCATGTACTCAAAGTCATTGATGCGAAGTATGATTTTTTAAAACACTACTACGCTGGATTTGCCATTGAGAATGTTGTGGTAAGTACCGTGATATCGCGATTTAAAACTGTAGAAATTACTTTATAGAAATACTTATAATTAGATTACTTTATAATAGTAAACTAGATAAAATAAGTCTTGTAGTATAATAACCGATAATATTATTAAAATTATTGAATATATGCATAAAATTTATAATTATTTCAGCCCGCATATGCTGGGATTCAAGAAGAACCTTTCGATCCTGCACTCGCTGCTTTAATAGCTCTTTTAGTTGTTCTACTCGTAGGTTCGGTTACTGTTACAGTCGTTTGTTGCTGTCTACGCAATTGGTAAGAATACAAAGATTTCAGACATGTTCTTATCTTACTCATTCAATACATCTACATCAATGATGCTTCAGGGTGGTAACTGTGTCAAGAGATATACGTAAGAAGGATGGCCTAATTAAGAAACAGATCATTGACGAATTAAACACAACGGAGAATCCTCTATGGATTGAGCAGTAAGTCTTATTTCTCGCGCATGCATGACCTTACATGTGATATATGACGAAGTATTGTTCTCGATTGTAGAAAATTGAAGCTCTACGAGGAGCAGGAGTTAACGATGCAAGTATTCAGCGAGCCCGAGGGCGGTCTCGGTGGCGAGAGACGGGGCAGTGGTGTAAGCGTCGGCATGGGTGATACATCCCAAGATAACACTTACGCAACCATCCAACATCCATTGCCTACGAACAGGCATTCACGACGCTTCCAGGAAATCACAATGTAAGTCGAGTAATGCTAATGGGTATTATAAGACTATAAAGCCTCGTTACAGTGACAGACTTAATTTTCATTAGTGATTCTATCTTTGAGATCATGGTTTTAGCTGTAATGGAGTGTTCTGAAAATTACGATAATCAATATCAGTTGCACGATATTGGAATTAAGTAATGAATTACACGACTTGGAAGTAACGAAAAGGACGTGTGCATTATATATAAATAAATAGAATATTTGCCCTAGTGTCTTTTTGCTTTAAGAATCAATACACAAAAATAGTCATAATAATGCATAATAAATATCAGTGTAATTGATCTCCGGGCTCTTACAGAAATTTAATAACTAAAAGTAGTGATTAATTATTTTTTTTTAAGTATTAAAAAAGCACTATTATTCATTGTTGTGCTTCTAATACTCGAAGTAAGTAATTTCCAGTATTAAATTGTATTTCTGTAAGGACTGTGAAACATAATTCCTAAACACGTAATTTTTCATTTTATGCTTCAGTTATACGAATCGGCAATGGGTTTTCAAGGATCAACGTTTCAGCCTTCCCCGAACGTGATGCCGCAACTCACGGTCGACCGCGACGGCCAGCCCCAGTTCGTTTCGGGGCTAATATAAATCAGCTCTGATACACGGGCACACTCAGCCCATCCTCTCCTCCTCCCTTTCTATCTCTAAATAAGCTCCGTCGCCGTACGTTGTACCTCTTTGTCCGCGGCTCTTTTTCATTGCACGCGCCTCTTCGGAGCGTACTTCGGGCGACTCGCATGCACACACCTCTTTGACAATAACCGAGTTAAATATTGGTCGGGTTTGTCCTGCGAGTAGACGCGTGTACGAGAAGAGCGACACGATACGACATGACATGAAACACGAGACACAACATTCGCGAGATCCGCCCTTTCTCACTTGCGTGACTTTTGCCATTTTCAGTTCAGACTCTTCCGCGAGAGCTTGCGAAAGGACTCATGATGAAGAGTGACGACGAACGACACAGTCAATATTACTGGAGTAATTAATCCCTGTAGCTGGTGTGTGCATGTATATATGTGTGCGTTGCCAACCTGGGGTCCCGTCTGACTTTATTTAGAACTACTTTTTAGAAGAATCAAAAAAAGCAAAAGAAAAGAAAGAGAGAAGAATATAAGCTAGGTAAAATAGATACTATGTGTGAGATAACTCGACACGACCGAAGCTTGGCACGACAGATATATGTATATAAGTGAATGTGTAGATTCCGTCCAGCCCAGTTTTTGTATTACTTTTCTCGTTAGTTTAATATTTATGCGTTTCCGAGATACGTACGTGCGTTCGAAACGCGAACGCATCTTGTACGTTTTACAACGATCACTGCCACGTTCTGGCATCTAAGCGATGCGAATTGCTGTATTTGGTGAACAAACAATTGCGTCATTGTTGTTACACGCACAACGGAACGTTTATAATTAAGATAGTGTGTATAATTTCTAAGTTAGTACTGTTAATTTCGTGTTAGTATATTTATTTAAGATAGAATATTTTAAATGACTGATATTTTCTCTTCTTTCCAAGTAAACTGTGATTTGATTGCGCCCAAGTATGAGTGTGATGATTTAACTCGTAATGATTTTGCAGGAGTCACTGGCGGTGGGCGGACATAGTCATATCATAGTTAGATGAAGTAATGACGCTCGCAGCGAATTCCAGTGTCATTACGGCGAAATAATCTTGCCTTCAAAAACCATGTCGACTTTACACTTTAATAGCGACTTCACAAACCGTCCTCGGCTGAGAACACAGAGATCGTGACCTTCGGGAATTCCCTGCGGATGTCACTTTCCGTAAAAAAAAAAACGTATCGCAACTACTCGATAACAACAGTAACTTAACTTACGATCGAGTTATTTCTAAGAACATTTAATGTAAAACTATTATCGGTATCATGATATTACTAGATGGTTATGAATATTCCAGTTAGCAAAAGTATCTGTTTTATTAATTACAAATTTATTGTAATATTGTAACATATTTTATGTAAGTCATTAATAAAAAATATTCATACACCAGATCTTGTGTTAATCTGTAAAATATATGGAACCGTTTGAGATCAACTGCTCTTCTTTATTTTCATTTTCATTGGCATTGTCTAAAACGATTCAGCTTGTAGGATTTCTAGGATAGTTTTTTTCAGTTTGTTCTTTTACTTCCTCAAGATTGCTTTTAGAGCTAAGTTGCTGAAAATTTTTGTTCTTTGATTTTGGTGTAAAATCTAATATTCGAACCAGTGATTCTGGCTGATCAAGCCATAATTTGTATCCTTTTTTTGTAGGATATCTTTTACTATTCATGCAAGTTAAACATGTCCATTTGACACCCTTTATAGGCTTCGATACTAATCTAACTCTGGCTGTCTCCCCAGGTATGAGTGGACTTTGACAACATTTACATACAGTTCTTTTCAAATTTGGTTCCCTAAGATAACGAATCGTTAACATAACTCCCCTGTAAATAATTCTTTATGATAAATCATCTATATAAACTTACGTGCGCAATACTGCCTTCTTAGCACAAGCGAACATATGGTTACCAAAGTAAGATGCCATAACTCGATTCTTCAATGCCATTAGGTGACTAGCCTGCAATAAAATATTAAATCACAATGACAGCATATGTTTCTACATTAATAATGAAATTAAATTGGAAACTAATGAGTTATAGACTCCTTTAATTAATACAACAAACAATAAAAAAAATTCGTACAAAAAGGTTATAGGGGGGGAGTCAATCTCTGGTTATTAAAAAATTTTGAGATATATATTACATTAACAGTACCATATAATTCGTTTTGACTCCTGTTTGAGTCATCTTCAGCATTACAACCTTAATGAGGAGTCGAAATGTATGAAATTATATACTACTATTAATATTGTATAATGTATATCTCAAAATTTTTAACAATCAGAGGTTGACTCCTATAGTTTTTTTGTAGAAATTTTTTTATTGCTTGTTGTTTCTACATTATTTTATCAAGTAAAAATGATCATAATGGGTAAGTAAATATCGCTTATTGATAGATGATAAATTTCATAATTATTCATACCTGATATAAATAATTCATTCTTTGGAAAACATCTTTGTGCTGGCAAATTTGATTCTTTTCTATAAACATGTGTATATGTTACAACAATGTATATTCAGAAACATTTTAATAATATTTAACTCACTCATTATAAAATTTATTATTTATTGCTCCAACTTGGATCGATAATCAGCAGCCTGACAATTTATATTGTCATAAAAATATCATAAACAATTCAATGTGTCAGTAATCAACTCCTCAATAACAGTTTCACACTTTTAAGGTTAGGTTAGATTGAACCGGTTGGGTTAAGTTAGATTACTTCCGTGCGGGATGTTTTTTTTTTTGGCTGAACTTTTGCACTTTTTTCTCTTCGAGAGGAAAAAAGAGGAAGAAAGATGAACTGGTGCAAAAGTTCAATCAAAAAGAACAGGCCTTTATTTTAATGATACCAGCCTCGCTAGAGTAAATTCTTTGGAGATTAAACAAATACAGAGGCTAGAGCAAATAATAGCAAGTAACAATTTTATTTTTCTCACAATATTTATTATTAAACTTTTCAATTAAAAAATTCTTTGTAAAAAATACATATAAAAATCCGTAAGGACTAGTTTCATTTTCAATTCTAACATTTCGTTTGTTACATCGTATAACTATATATAAAAAAATTATAGTATAATCTAGCCAAGTAACATTAAAATGCGAACATTATCCTGCACACTTTATATACATACAACAATGTATAAACATGTGTATTTATACAACCAATATTATTTTAGACCGTTTATGAGAACACAATCAATATTAAAATGCCTATAATGGTCGAAGCCGGATCTTCAATGCTTAAATAATTCATAATTCTCTTATAGACATTTTAATATTGATTGTGTTCTCACATAAACGGTCTAAAATAATATTGTTTATATTATGTCGCCTGAAAAAGACGTTGTTTCCTTAAATGTACCAATTATTGCGAAGAACATTACTAAGGCCTCGGTAATCTAATGGCTTAGGACGCTCGTACGGAATACAAGAGATCCGGATTCGACTCGCGACCGAGGTAATATTTTTCAAAATAAATTTAATTGCAGTTTTTCAACATATTAACATCTTTATAATATGATACCTGATTGAGCATGAAAATTATTAAAATTACTTGTCAATTTATAATTCGCGAGTTTAGTACAGTAGTTTAATTGCACATTTATATAGTCTAGAAAAGAATTCGGCGCGCAGTTCGAAAGACTACAAATATGCAAGTACATATATAGTATATTTAATAATTCAAAATTGAATTATTTAAACATTAAAAATCCAGCTTCGATCGTTATAGGCATTTTAATATTGAATGTGTATTTATATTTTAAGAATCGAATTAAACATAAATTCATTTAAATTTAATTTATTTTCCAATCAATATTTTAATCATTTTTATTAAACCATTTTTTTAATTACGCTGTCGTAATGTACTAAACAGATATATTTTTTCTTTTTTATATTGCTGAAAACTAGAAAAGCTGAAAATATGTATGGAATCGAAATTATCTCCTCAATACTTTTGTAATTTGTTTTGAATAATTTGATTTTTGCACTGATGTGTTATATATAAACGCTCCTTTTCCATTCAGAATCTCTGACTGTAAAACTGATTCTAGACTTTTGAATACAGGCGTTGTGATACCCTTGATGGTATTCCTCTGGCTTGTATTGGATGAGTCCGATTCTCTGGATTTAGCCTTACATTTCCATGTCAAGTTCGGCGTAAATTCAACTTCCATATCAAGCATTTCTTCAGTATCAAAAGCATTGTTATTCATGGAATTCTGATTATCGTTTCTAAAAAGAAAGGAAAACATCATGAACAACTATGATTGATTAATGTTCATTTCTACCAATGTAGATCAACTTTAATCTTGATTTTATTTACTTTTTATCTTTTTTTAATTCTAAGAATTAGGAAAAGATAGAGTAAATTAAACCGAGATTACAGTTAATCTACATTGGTAGAAATAAGTTATATTACTTCCATACGGAATTGTTCACAGCGTAGCAAATAACGAGTTTACCTTTTTTAATGCTTTCTAAAACTTTTCAATTAAAAAACTCTTTGTTAGAAAAAAAATCTATAAAAATCCGTAAGAATCCGTTTTTAATTTTAACATTTCGTTCGTTACATTATAATTATTAAAAAATTATAGTAAGTAACTTAGAATACATATTATACTTTATATACTTTCTGGCTGCTTTAGATTTAGACGCTTTTAATGCTTTTATTTTTTTACATAATAAACGATAAACACAAAATGATGATTATAAACACTTAAAACTTGAGTGATTAAATTGAACTTAGCTTCTGTAATATGATATTCTGTATATAAAATTGCAAATGTAGAAAAAATCTCAGGGATCTAAAACTTATTCAATTCAAAGGAGTAAATAAAAATATAGTACCGTGAATGATTCTCTTGTCCACCGTTACTCTCATCATAATGATAGCCATATTCCGCTAGAACAATGTCCAAATTGTCGCACTGCTCTTTTAAATCTTTGTACATCACTTGTGATTCTTTCAGTAACTGATCTGTCTTATCCAAGGATGGTTCCAATTTTGACTGAAGTTTTTCTATCGCAACCTATGATTAATTGCACAATACATATAATCAAATGCTCACTTCACAATTTCTTCATAGTAAATACACTACTCATAATATATGATATTTTATTTTGTACATTAAAGATATAATTTGGACTGCATTTTAAAATTCATTGCTAATAATGTAAATCTGTAACAGGTGTAACATGAACTATGACGGCAGTGAATTTTGGAACACATTCATAGCATGATTACTTAAATAATGATGTTTGAGTGAGCTATGGTAGGAATATGTTGGAGCGTGTAGTCACAGTGACGCAAACAAATCTAAATCATATTTAAAAATAGTACAACAAATTTTTTTAGTGACGGTTTACCATCAGGATCATAAGTTATTTTAAAATAAGTAGTACTTTTTTAAATCGGTGCTCTAATAAAAATGTATGGAAATGTATTATAAGATAAATGACAAAAATCACAATTTTTTAATAAGTACTTTATATATTAAGATTAATTATGTATATGTAAAGTTACATTGCAATGCTGAAATTAGTTGTCCAGTAAATAAATAAAACATTTATTCCAAATTTTTGTAAGTAATCAATGATACTTTGTAGTTATTTTGAACTTGTCTTAGGGCCGATTGTTCCAACTTTTTGGTAAAGTTTACCTGTTAGTAGCAAGATTATCAAATCACGTACGTGGATTGTCAGATTTACCTAACAGGTAAACTTTACCAAAAGATGGAACAATAGGTCCTTAGTGTCGAGACACTACCGTGTCTCCAGATACTTATAGTATCTAGTGTTTTTAAAGCAATGAATTTATATTTTTGAAGCAGTGAATTTATGTTTTTTTAAAGCAATGAATTTGTGTAATTAAAACAGAACGTATACATAGCGCTGTATCGAGATAGAGATGACAGATATCTTAACCTCTAAAATATCAAATTTCAACGCTTAATATCTCGGTTCACGAGACCTGCCGCATTTTTTTGCCAGATTCTTTCATTTTGAATGAAAACGCGTCCAATGAGTGTATTTTTATTATGATTTTAGGTGAGGTATGGTATTCTAAATAATTATCAAATCCTATTCTTGAATGTTGAAAGAGTATACAAATTTTTTCAAATCTTTTAGATCCTTTGAAAAACAACCAGGCACCAGTGATTCGGTTGGAGTAAGAAAGCAGTAAAAAAAATGTTGAATCACATACGGAGGGTTGAGGAACGCAATCTCCGAGATAATATTAACTGAACAATATTTACGCTAATATTCCGTATAGACTCCCACAACCCCTCCAGGTAGACATTAGTTTCAGCCGTACGCTCCGCGTAGCCGCCAATGAGGAGTTGTGGAGTTTTCCAGGTTTCAGAAAGTTTCTCAATGCCCTCGTCGATATTGCGTGTTTTGCCCCGCAATCTGCCGAAATAATTCGAGCACGACGCAAACGTACTCTTCTCCATCCTTCACTACGCGCCACTGATTGAAGAATGACTGACTTTCAGTTTCTTGTTGTTAACAGCTCAACGAATTGAATTTTTTCCAGTTTCTCTATTTTCAATTTCTCTTCTTTTTTTCTCCAACCAGAGATTCAGCACTGGCCAGTTTCACCAACAAGGTTGCGTTCGGAATCATCACTCGGGTGCCCCCTGTATCATTTTATCCTTATTTAATGCCTGGTTTATGCTTCGGTCTTATCTCTAAAATCCTAAAATTCATCCAATAGGGCTGCCAGTTTTAACTGGTTCTAACTGAAATCTGTATTCCATTGGCTAAATTTTAGGATTTTAGGATTAAGACCGAAGCATAAACTAGGCATAACATTGGGTTAATAACAAGGATGAAACGACACGCGGGGACACTCGGGTCATGTTTCCGAACGCAGCCCAACGCCGATTAAAGGTGCGTTCAGGGAGACGCTATTAGCGCTATGTGTCATTCTATCCTTGTTTTACTAATAAACAACGAAGATAGAATGACAGAGTAGCGCTATTAGCGTCTCCCCGAACGCACCATAAGCTTAATCGATGGGTGCATTCAGTACTACAACCGCTCCCTGAGCACTCAGTGAGCTCTTGCATCTGATTGGCATGTTCCGTTAGAACTAAAAATATAGACCAAACAGATTCAAGAGCTCACTGAACGCTCAGTGAGCGGTCGTGATACTGAATGCACCCGATGATTAACTGTCAACCGCAATTGGTCAATTCTATTAAACAGCAAACGCGATTGATCAGTCAACGGCCAATTAAGCCAATTGGCGTTGGTGAAATTGGCCCTCAAGAGCAGTGTTGCTAGATGTGTCACTTTTTTGGCGCTTGCGCATTGAAGGAGGTTTCAGTAACGTATTAAAGGCTGCGGTCCACTTGCTTCTTTCAAATGCTCTGAACGCTACGCTCCGATTGGTCCATTACTGTTCCGAATGCTACAATTGCTACGTGAACGCTCCAGCCAATCCACCTCCCGAGGTGAGATAGTTGGAGCGAAGTGGGAGCGAAAACGATGAGCAAAAGTTTATTAAATAATTTATTTAATTATACTGATAATTTGCTGTCAAATTATGTCGCGATAAGTTCTAATAGCAGAATAATCCTCACTAATGATGATAATCTGCTCTCTTTTTTGAGTAAGTTAAATAATTTAGTTAATAATTTTTCAACGGGAAAAATAATTATATTATCAAGCAAATAAGTGACAAATAACATGCTTTTAATCAAATTCTGCTTCCAAAATTCACTGCCAGTACTGAAAATCTACAATTTTCATTACGTGCATTATAGGTAAATTTTCAGCATTGACGTGAATATCGGAACGCAGTTAAATTTTAAACATTACGTTTCGTTCATGACCCTGCATAACATTTGTAGTGATATAATAAAGAAAATTGATTCTAAAATATACTCTTAGTACAAAATGTAATGATTGAAAATTTTACAAATTTTATTCATTTATTTATTAAGTACGAATCTTATCTTTAATTTTATTACGATTGTAATATACTGTGAATAATCGATTTGTTCTTTTTCCATACTTATAGGATTGAACTTCTTACACGGTTTACCTTTCTTGTTTTTCTTTTCATTGAAGAGAAAAGGATGAACATGATCATTACATTTTGGATTAATTGTAAGATATTTAAAAAATAATTTCTTAAGCTTATTGTCTAAGATCGTTTTATTATTATAGGACATACAAAATCAGTAGATACTCTAATAATTTTTCTGTTAACTACAATACTAAGATTAGCGCTGATTATTTTTTCCAGATAAATATTTATTTTACAATTGTTATGTTTACATCACGTATAAACGTTTTCGCATTACTTTATATCGAATTACACAAATTACTTCATCAATATTTTATTGCTCGTTACTTCACTACTTTAATATGCATCTTCAATTTTCTTAAAAGTTTCGTCTATCTGCAACTTACCCCTAAAAGCTTCTTCTATCTCTGTTTTCGTCTTTCCTAGTGTCTCCGGTAATACAATTATTAGAAAAATAGTGGCTATAATAGACATTATGCAGTAAAAGTAAATGGTACCATTTCTGTTATACGTTATCATTATTGGATACAATTGTGTAACGATATAGTCGTATAAAAGAGCGACGATGATAGTAAGAGGCCCGAGAAAGTTTACGTATTTGGTAGGATATAGTTCCGGAATCATCGACCAAGGCATCGAAAAGAATCCGTATGCTCCTAATGCCTGCGATTTATAGATTAATCATGAATTCTATGGCTAACTATAGCTAATATATTATTAGATCTTTTTTGCGAAATTCAAAAAGTAATATCTAAAGTTCAATCTACGTTGGATCTAATAAGTGTTGGATTTAAATCTCTCGAAATCATTTTCATAATTACCTCTATGAAAAGAAATTATAACTAGTGGATGAAATACTACAAATATATTCTATTAAAAATGTTATTTTCTTACCACATAAAATAGGATGCAAATGAGGGGTATAGCCGCAACGCCAGTGTCTTCAAAAAATTGCAGGTACACTGCTAAGACACCCAAAGAGATTGACATACCAGTACCGGATACAATTGAAATCGATCGACGACCAATTCTAGTAAATGTGAAACCATATTATAATAAAATTTTCAGAATCAAATTTGTCTAAACGATCCCAGCAAACACAAATATTATATAACTGTTGTATAACATGTCACTAACATGTATAATATTACATATAATAGTATTACATACAGATTAATTGTAATTTCCCACTTAGATATAACTTAGATATAACATTTGTAATATAATATATGTTTGTAGTAATTATAGAACAAAGATTTGTTGGTATCGTAGGACACCAAGAATATTTGATTAACATTGACGTCCTGTAATACTAACAAATCGTACTCTTCTATCTCGATGTAATTACAATATAACAACAGTGTAATATATGTTATATTACAAATATTACATCTATGGGTGGAAAATTACAACTAACATGTATGTTACATGTAATATACATGTTAATTACCTACTCGTTATATAACAGTTATATTAATATTTGTGTTTGCTTGAAATAGAGCTAATATTGCCTTTTGGCATTTTATATGTGAATGCCTTTGATGGAAATATTTTTACGAGAAAGTACAGAAAAACTACATAGATTGAGACAAGAGAAATTCTTAATTTTTCATAGATATTTCTCGTAGGACATAGAATAAAGTTTGTTTGTCTTAGAAATTCTTAGTTTTTCATAGATATTCGTAATAGGACGTAGAGTGGCATTATTTGAGAATGAAAAATCATTTCTTGATTTTTCAAACAAACGACGCTACTCTATGTCCATATGAACATCTATGTAAAATTAACAGTAAGAATTTTCAAGATCTTATCTCATTCGAGGTAGTTTTTCGTAAAAATTTTTCCGCCAGAGTGGTTTTATATTTAGATCACTAAAGTATAATATATAATATTTTATATCGTACGATATATATATATATACAGCGTGTCCCATTTTAAATAATGCATTAAGATTTCTCGAAATCTATGGTAGATACAGAAAATGTTTTAAACAAAAGTTGTATGGTTCGGAGGGAAACATAAGAAGCTACCATTAATTTGACCTTGGGTAGCGTTGACTGTAACTTTCGAGCTTTATAACTGGAAAAATACTTAATGAAAAAATATTTTATTGTAGTATTTTGAAAATAAGCTCTCGAGGTAAGCTACAAGAAAATGTAATGAAATATAGGGGGTTCTATTTAAAAAAATCGATGTTACCTTGATCTGATCTTGGCGACACCACCCAAAGATCAAATCAATGATATTTTCTTATGTCCCCCTCCGAATCATACAACAATTTAAAATGGAACATTCTGTATACTCGTATATATGCGTATAATAAATAAAAATACCTCATGCTGCAGCAAGCGCTGATTATGTTAAATACTACTTGGATAATTCCTACTATGACAGTGATCAAGAAGGGATCAATTGTAATATTGATTCTGCTGATTATATCGACGCAATAATATATAATTACATACGTCCCACTAAATCTTTGAAAAAAGAAATAGAAATTTAAAATCACAGTCGGTTTCCACACTTCGGGTAAAAGAATTATTCTCCTAATGCTCTTTAGCTTGCTAGATACATTCATGAGAAACGATTTTTGCCCGATCTCCGTAGTCAAGGAGGAGGCTATCTGACAATTTTCGGACGTTTTCAAATCGTTTGTCAGCGTATTGTAATTCATCATTCTGGTAAATTCTTCCTGGAATTCTATCGTCTCTTGAAGCAAGCCACGGATGCGAAGTAAAGCGATCTTAGCTGCCTCCTTTCGACCTTTTAAGAGCAACCACATAGGACTCTCACGAAGAAAAAATATATTGCACAGAACAAGAGTTATCGAAGGTATCGTAAAAAATGCTGCTATTAATCTCCAATTGTTCTAAAATAATTTAAATGTTTTAAAGAAATTGTCAATGTAAATTCTCTTCTCTTTCTCCTTTTCTTTCTCATTAAATTTTATTTATATAATTTTGTATAATTAAAATTTTATTTTGTCGTACGAAAAAAATTTGATGTAATTATAACAAATTTAGTATTTTGTCAAAGATCATTTTCTTATCAATAAAAGATTATTTAAGATTATAATGCTCTTACCTGTGCAATAAATCCTAGAAAGTAAACGAGTAAAACTCCGGCGGAAACCCCTATATTTGGAGTAATTGTAGCAAATTCCCTCCATGCGGGTATAGAAATTTCTGATAAATAAATTTCAATGGAAGGTGAAGCAAGACCTATGGAAATTCCTGAAAATTTTTTAAACATTTTTAATTAATACAGATTATTCTCATCGTTAAGTAAACGGCTAATTTAATTTAAAAAAGAATCTGTTTTCTCTCTTTTTAACATTAATAGGAAATTATAGAGTTGATAAAACGTGCTTGTATGTTATACACGTGTGCTGCAATGTGCATGTCTTTATTGATATAACTCATTTATAGTTAAAGATGATAATATAAAAAGAAATTTTTTCCACATGCATTTTAAAAATATTATTCTATATACAGGGTGTCCCATTTTAAATAATGCAAGATTTCTCGAAAACTATGGTAGATACAGAAAAATGTTTCAAGCAAAAGTTACATGGTTCGGAGGAGGATATAAGAAGGTACCATTGATTTGACTTTGGGTGGCTAACCTCCTCTTCCGAACCATAGAACTTTTGTTTGAAACATTTTTCCATATTTACCATAGTTTTCGAAAAATCTTAATGCATTGTTTAAAGTGGGATACCCTATATATATGTATTTAATATATACATACATATATATATGTATATATAGTAGAACTCCATTTATCTGTACTTCATTTATGTCCGTTTCCACTAATATTAATTTCAATCTTGGTTTAACTTACTATTTATCTTTTTCTAGTCCTAAAAATTAGAATAAAATAAAGATTAAATTAAACAGCTAAAAAATTAAAGTAAATCTTACATTAGTGAAACCGGATATGAGACGAGCAAATTTATGTTCAATTTCGAATATTAGAACTCATTATAGCTGATTGTGAGCTCTTATTATTCGAACTACATTACCGTAGTCGAATAATAATAGCTCAACATGCTCGGTTTCAGTTTTCTAAATGTCATCTCCTATTATCGGAAATAAAAGCCGCAGCACAGACTTAATTTTGCATAATGCGCACTATATAGCACATAAGGCATAAAGAATCAATCAGAGTTCTTCATTTCGTATACTTTTATTGATTTTCTTACGCCTTATGCTTTATGAGTTATGCAGCGTTATGTAACAGTTTGTGTACGGCTTTAATAAATATTGAGGAAAATTAGTGAACTTCTGTTATCCGAACCATTTATCGGACTTATTTTGTCCTTCAACAATTTCGGATAAACGGTTCTACTGTAATTAATTTTCTAAGTAATTACTAAGTTTATTAATTATTAATTACACACGACTTGTATGCATCAAATTTCTTACACATTAGTGATTAGTGTTAATTATTCTATTAGTGATTCATCTAGATACTTAACTCTCCGTTGGCAAGGTGGACTTTCAGGATATATCTAGTAAGATGGAGTCGATTCGACTCCGTGCTCATTTTTCATCTAATTAATGTATAAAATAAGTGAAAGAAGTATATAATAATATGAAACTTTATCCCCTGTTTATTTAGAAATAAAAATATAGTTTTATGCATTTATACTTTATAAATTTATACTTTAAATTAAACAAAAATGCTTTGACTAATACTATATAAATAAATTGCTTCAGTCTCAAAATATTTCATATATAATTAAAATAACTAGAAAGACATTGCACAAAATAGTTATAAAAATCTTTAGCTTATTGCCTTAGTCTCAAAATAGTAAACAAGTAAATATTATTATAAAATGTAAAATGTTATCTGAATAAACAAGAATTATGTGGAGGGATATGTCACTTACCTAAACGATTTTAACCGTGTAGTGAACGAGTTGAAAATAGCCGAGACCACATAACCATAAGATAAACAGTGCATGTGCAATATAAAATAAACGAACCGTGGGATCATTTTTATCCCAACTTTAGCAACGGAGGGTTAAAATTGCATCTTGATTTTTACTTTTTCAGAACTATTCAACAACATACATACAATTTTTACATATCGCGCGATTGGTAAGAAATAAATAAGAATATACTCATAGATTAATGTCCGTTTATACTAATGTAGATTAACTTTAATCTTTATTTAATTTGATGTTTATCGTTTTCTAATCCTAAGAAAAAATAAAAAGTAAATTAAATTGAGAGTAAAGTTAATTTGGTAGAAATGGATATAAATTACAATTCGACGAATTTCTTACCCGTTAGCATTCTACCGATAAAGAGTTGTATTACATTATAACTACTGGCAATCAAAATCCATCCCAAAGAAAAGGTTACACCGCATACTATCATGGTACATTGTCTTCCATAATGCATCGTAATAAGGCATATGAGACTACCAATGAGTGGAGTGATAGATACCGTAGAAGCTAGACAAAAGTTTTCCAATATTATGTGCAAATAAGAGCATTTTATAAACCTTAATTCTTAATATTTTGTAAAAGTACAATATTTATCAATTTTTTAAATTATGTAATTTACCTTCTTATTTTCTCAATTTATTATGATAAATACAAATGTGTGCAATATGTAGTAATAAAAATATGTAAAGATTATTGATTATGTTATCAGCAATTGTATTGAAAATCATAATATTAAGTGTTGCAAAGATTAAATAGTAAGAATTATTAACGTGTTAATAATAAAATATTTTATAGTAAGAAGAAATACTAAACATTTTTATTAAAAAAATTATTACCGAAAAAAAGTGTTTCCATTTCGTTTAAAGTTAAGGAGGATGTGTTACTCTTTAATATTGGAAGTACTACGGCGGAATATCCTTGAGTGGCTCCTTCGTTAATTAAAGCCATATTGCTAAGAAATATGTAAAGGAACTGCGACAGATTATACGCACATAGAAATTAGAAATTAAATAATAATATATAGTAGTATTTATTTTTATCGTATTAGAATTAATAATATTCTATTTTTTATTTGAAAAATCTAAACTTACAATTTTCTAAAATTTCTTTTGTAAATCCAATTCATAAAGATTTTGTCATAAACCACATTAATTAGTAATTACAGATCATTCATTTTCTTATTAAATATATTTACATATGTATTTAACTTAATTACATACCAAAAACAGGACTTCTCGTCGCACATTTAATTGTAGATGCATATTTGTATTTATTGTATTATCACTGTTTTGAGAAAATATGAGGATGTTTAACTTGAATGTTTAAATTTTGTGACAAACAAATGTTACTCGCTTTATTTGTTATGGAAGAACTGTAGCAACTTCGAAGCGCAATTTTAATGAACATTCGTTCTCACGTCATAATCATTGCAGCTTATGTAATTCCTAGAAAAACAGTAAGAATGATAGCAGTAAGAATATAGCTTATATAATTTTTAGAAAAACAGTAAGATTTCCTGCATTCAGGAAAAAGGATCTGCTGAGATATGATATATTTGTTTCAACACAGATCAGAGTTAGATCTGTAAATTGTCTCTATCTAGCCGGATTTAAACAGATATAAATCATAATAATCTCATTTTTAGACCGTATATGTGAGAAACACAATCGATAAATTAGATTTATTTAGAGCCCTATATAAATCAGATTTAATCCCTGTAAAGTTTTTTATATAATAGAGAAGATGGTGGTATTACGGCCTCCCATTTACATTTTATACAACTTGGTTAATAATCAAAATTTAAATTTAAAACTTGATGATTACATATTCGTCAAAGTGTCGTTTAATCGATTCTAAACTCAAAGTTACGAAACATTTATTACATAGGACATTATTTACAAAAATGTGGCGATGTTACATTAATGACTCGAAGAGAAACAGGGATGGTAATTTGGCTTCCTACAAAAATAGATTTAAAAAATTGGTTTTATTTAAAAAAAAAAAAAAAATACAGTGTTTGGTTACAAAGTTAACAAAAAAGTAAAATATTTTAGAATGTATGCAAATGTATATACGTATACACATAACTTCTGTATTTAGCTGCTGCCCAGTACTAAAAATCTCAGTACTAAAAATAATAATAATATAAACTATAGAGTAACAGTAGAGCTAACAATCGATTATCAAATAATTATTTTGATTTGAAAACCTCAAAAAAGAGGCCGTGAATAATCAACACGCATCCCAAGTAGAACACAGAAGTCATGAGGACATCATCATGACCTCATTCGTCACTTATAAGTCAATTTTTTGGTATCAAATGACATCATGATGACGTCCTGTGATACCATTATGACTTAATTATGACTCCGTGTTCTACCTGGGATAGAGGCCCATATTAGCAAAATGCCATGCTATTGTTTAAATTTGCATAACTCAAAATACATACAGTCAAATAAAATAGCAAACAACAAACTCAAATATACATATGAGGACTCGGGAAAAAATATTTCATATATAATTATATAAAAAATTGACATTTTATATACAATTATATAAAAAATTGACATTTTATATACAATTATATATAAAATATATCCATTTATATAACATTTTTTCCCGGGGAGCAGACTTTCAAAATGCGTTTTGTCCAAAATTTGTAATTTTCGAGAAAACGAGAAAGAAAGAAAGAAAATATTACGTACATAAGAAAATTATGCACTTTACAGAAACTAACAATATGCCAATTAGTAGGATAAGAAATATTAAACAAAATTGTTAAACAGTTGCTGAAAATGTCAAACAAATGCATTTTGTCTCTAATTAAAAAACATAATTCGCTTCGAAATGTCCATATTTTTTCAGCATATAAATTAACATATATAATAATCGTATGGCTCAATAAATTTAAACACTCAATAAAGAAAAAGGACTACGAGCAAAAAATCAATTGTTATAATTTAAAGTTTAGAATAGAAAATAAACAATTATATCATTACGTTGAAAATATTATAAACTTTAATATAAAAACAAACGTTTCGATCGCGATCGGATCATTCTCAATGTTTAAAAAAATTAGTTAGTATGCTAAAATCTCTCTCTCTCTCTCTCTCTCTCTCTCTCTCTCTTTCTCTCTCTCTCCCGCAATATGCGAGTTAGTGAGCATATAATTTTTATATGCCAGGTAGACATTAAAGATAGACAGCAGTTCTGACTTGTTCTAACGTGTCCGTCGACGATTATAGTTCACCGTTATCGGTCGGTAATTATTGATGATTATCAATATGGACAATGAATATACCGAGGTATCGGTGCTTGAGATATTTCCATTCTAGAAAATCAAATGAAAATCTATGAAATTTTATTCGTATTTTTCATATACATTCTGATAAGTTTTCAATAAAATCCATTTTGGAAAATCAGATAGAAATCTGTGAAATTTCATCCGTATATTTCATATACGTTCAGAGAAGTTTTCCAATTCGCTAAAAAACAATAGAACCTTATAGACTTAGTTTTGTACACCGATAGAAATTCATGAAATAAATTTCAGATTAATAATGATTTTATTTTTATCGTTAATACACGATTGATTGTTATTCGTTAAGTAAACGATAGAAATCGATGAATGCCAATTCGTTATTTTACTATTCTTTTAGATACAATAGATTAAATATGATAGAAAGAGATAGAATTTCTATCATTAGTTTCCAACCGAATACAAATCTTATAGGAACCGATAAAATACGATAGGATTTATATCTGATGCTTGAAAGATCAACGATACAGCTTATAGAAAACGATACAAATTGATAGAAATTATATCATTTTCAATCGTTGTCTGTCAACTTTTTTTACCAGGGATAGTAGTTTATTTGTGTTTATAAGTCCGAAAAATCAATTCGTCGCGCAGTTCAAATAACTACATAGTACATAAATTCACATAGAAATTATTTAATTATTAAAGCATCTAAGATTCAGCTTCGGCCGTTATAGACATTAAACTCTTACTAAAAAAAATTATTAGATATTATCTAGGTAGTTGAAAATGGCCAAAAACCTCATTTTTTGCACTTCTTAAGGTTAAAATATCTTAAAAACATGATACGACATTTTCGACGCCACATTTGTAATCAGTGCATTAAAATCAACCAAAAACAGTTTACTTTAGGGCCAAAAAAGGTCGAATTTTTGTCGACCAATGTAATTGTTCTCTAATTAAAAGTAAAAAGTTAATAAAATTTTTATTTAAAAAAAAACTGAACACTTATTGTTACAATCTTAATGACTGCGTTCAGCAAAAAAAGATTGATCAGTGAGCGCTCAGTGATTCTTTTCTTTGATTGGTTCTTACATTTAAATCTACCAAAGTAATTAAAGGCAAGGCAGATCAATCATATTATAAAGAATCACTGATTGTGAGTTTTCTCTGTTGAACGCAGCCGATATTGTATTCACAAGAAAATAAAATTTATATGATTAGAACAATACTTATATTTCTTTCTAATTTTGATTCTTTGATAAACAATAAGAAATTAATACTTTTTGACAGAATAAAAAATAAATCAAATTACTGCATACTTACAATAATATTTTAATGTTGTGTACACAAAAAAATACTAAAAGTGAATATCAAAACGTTTAAATATCAGATAATTTTTAATAAAAAATAAAAAGTAAAGTATACATATTGCATACAGTGAAATGCTATTTTTTTGTAACACAATTGCATATGTTGAAAACATTAAAAAGTTGTATACATATGGTAGCTGTGCAATATTACGCTATTTAATGTAAAACTCGATTATGCTATTGTAACATACGGGTAACTTCGATAAGTTCTTTTAGCCTTAGAATTATCAATGAGTTTAACACAAAAATGATGGCATATCGTTATGTGTTATTCCACTATTCCATTTTTGTTACAAGCAATACAAATGCGTCTTAACACTTTAAGCTGCCCCTCCAGACTGAAACAACGCAGAGCCATGTTGGAATTGGAGTATTACCAAGGTCAAATATATTAATTGCAGAAAAATGGCGGACCAATCAAAACTGGCTGTCTGATGTCGCAATTCTGATTAGAGGGTCTCTAGTTATGTCCTCTCTCATAGGACGGAATCCATAGACGGTGCTTAAGATTCGAGATGGTCTTAAGGAGCTTACAGACCAGAGCGGCGCAGCGGTGAGCGACGAGCGGTAGCCCAATGAGAGCCACGCTTTTGCGTGACATCATTAGTGAAGCATGGCTTTTATTGGGCTACCGCTCGCCGCTCACCGCTACGCCGCTCTGGTCTGTAGGCTCCTTAAGCTCCTTAAGGGTGCCATTACATGAGCGCGGAAACGCGTAACCAATCAGAAGCAATCCGCTGTTATGGTTTCGCGTTTCACCGATTACTGATTGGTTGCGCGTTTCCGTATTTCCGTGTTTCCGCACTCATGTAATATCAGCCTAATGTAGAACCAGCTTTATAGATCTAATGACTTTTAGAGTAGATATAAAGAGAGTGAAGCCAATCCTGGATCTCCTTCCTGATTGGTTCCGCCATTTTAGGATTAACTGTTAGAGGAAGACGACGTTAGAAAAAGAAAAGGATGAGAAATTGTTTGTCGTAAAATGGCGACTTCCGGTTAATTGGCTTCACTCTCTTTATACCCACTCTAATGACTTTATTCCATACAAAATATGGGAGTTGATGATCTATTTTTTTTTATAATCTGTGCTACAGTGTAGAGGAACCACGTGTTTGTGTTATAACCTGTTTTGTTCTGGCTCTTGGATAAGACTGGCCATGATAATCCAGCTATACCGGAACCTGGGCCAACCAAATATTAAAGAAGCAGACCTGTTTTGTTCCGATAACGTGTCCTGTATTTTTGCAAATAATTAGTTTAACTTTCTGACATTAACGTACAAAATGTTAACTGAGAATTTGACGATTTTCTGTGAACGAGATCAGAAATATAAACAGAGATTCTTACTTTTTGAAGTAAATATGGCTATTTTTATGTTACTTTTCCTGCAGATCTTCCTAATTATTATTTATATATATATATAGTAATTTTTTCTTCTTTAGAAAATTGTATGTTTTTATAATAGATATAAGTTTAATAAATTATTTTTCGCAGGAATTTAGTAAACTTAACCCAGATACAATTTTGGAAATATTATGTGAATTTTTGATGCAACCAGAGTGCACAAAAGATGTTGTTGATTGTTTCCCAGAATTATTGTTAGGCCTTATTTCTGTAGCCATACCTATAGAAGATTTACGATCATCAGCATTAATAGACAAGAATATTATTCATAGATTAAACTGTGTTATATTAGGAAAGCTACTTGATGTTAATCAAGATTTACTAATGTACGTGTATTATATTAATGTATCAGAAAATGTATTATACCGATAAATGTGTTTTGTGTTG